TCTGCTCACTTACCCATTGAGTCACCCGACAGACACTTACCGAGGATCTGCCATTCGCCAGATCTTACGCTCGGGTCTGGGGGAGGACATAGGGCAAGACAGACATAGCAACAAGCACTCATTGTCAACATATATGTATTTTTTAAGTTTATATGTTTAAGTAATCTTTACACCCCACTTGGGGCTCGAACTCATGACCCAAAATCAAGCGTCACAGGCTCTTCCAGCTAAGCCAGCCAGGCGCCCCAGCATGTATTTGTGGAGCACCTACTAGGTGCTGGACACTGTTCTAGGTGCTTGAACTAGCTCTGTGAACAAGACAGATCCCTGACCTTGCAGAGCTTCCATTCTAGCAGAGGCAGCAGAGGGAGTAAGAGCATGTTAGACAGTGTTGCATGCTATGGAAAATAACTAGAGCTGGGCTGGGGGTTACAGTGTTAAATTGGGAGGTCAGGATGGCCCCACTGAGAAAAAAACATCTAGCAAATCACCCAAAGGAAGTAAGGGAGTTAGGTATATGGCCAGCAAAGGAAGAGTCTCTGGTAGGGGGACATCCAATGCAAAGGCCTCTCGGAGCATGAGAGTGTGCCAGGGTGCCAAGGGAAAAGCAAGGAGGCAGGAGGCTGGAACGGACTGAGGGGCAGGTCAGCCGGCCAGGTGGGAAAGGTAATCGGGGACCAGGTCATGGGGAACCTCATAGGCTGCAGGAAGGACTTTGGTTCTCACTCTGAGCGACATGGGAGCCCTTGCAGGGTGTGGAGCAGAGGAGTGGCAGGACCTGACTCACATTTTTAAAGGACCGCTCAGGCTTTTGTGTTGAGGGCCGACTAGAGGGCCAGGGTAGGGGCGGGGAGGCCAGGGGCTCTGTTCGGAAGCAGCCGTGGAGGCGCCTAGAGTCCCAGACTCTAGACATGCTTTGAAGGTGGAGCCAGTAGGACCCGTTGGTGAATTAGAGCCGAAGAAGAGAGAAAGAGAGGACTCAGGAATGGCTCCAGAGGTTTTGGCCTAAACCACCGGAAGAGGGAAGCCTGCGTGTGGGAGGGGTTTGGAGCGGGGGGCGGGGAGACAGAGTTCAGGACTGTTGTTAATTCCGAGATGTTTGAGTGAAAGTGTGGAAGTAGGCAATGGGCCATTTGAATCTGCAACTTAGAGGTCTGTATCAAAGATATAATTTAGAAAATCATTGGCGTTAGAAAACAGTAGAGAATATTTAAAGCCATCACCAGGGAGTGAAATGAAGTGACGAAGGATCTGAGCCCTGGACCCCAAGGTCCAGGAGCTGTGAGCGCGGGATGAAGGCAAAGACCACAAAGTCATGCATCGTAGGTGCAAATCAGGCTTCACCGGGGAACCTAGATGCGGCGGGTCAGCAGTTAATGAGGTGCTGGTGCGTCCTGCAGTCTTTCATGTCACATGGAGAGAGGTTCAAGGGTCAGGGCATAGCCAGAAACATCCTGGTGTGTGTTCCAGAAGACCTCCCTCCGGTCAACTACTCTACTATTTAGACAGCGTGAGGTCAGCCTTGCAAGTCAAGAAAAGCTGGTCTGAGCTCAGGCCCCAGGGAAAATGCTTGCAGGGCTGAGGCACCTGAAGACCCTGAGGGGAGTGGAGACCTTGTGCAATCATTTCTGCTTTGGGGAAGGGAGTCCCTCCTGAGCCCACCTGCTGTCACCTCATTGCTAAAACCTGGAGTGAGCCCCCAGGGTCTTCCCATACAATCCAGATTGTTTTTCCAAGGTCTATCCCCTGACCTAGAGCTCATCAAACACAAGCCTGCGCACTCAGGATGGAGATCAATAAGAGTGTAATAAACAATAGGGGTAGAAATCAGCTGGGCTCCTAAGGGGATTTCCAGCAGCTGTTGGCAATGCCGGGGAGACACCGGAGGGGGAGGGAAGCCTGGAGTGGCGGTACAAAGCCCATGGTGGAGGCCTGAGCCATCTGGCCATGGAGTCCATACCAGGCTCGAGGACCTATATATATATATACCCAGTCGGATATGAAAGGCACTGCTCAGTATTCTGCCAATGAGCCTCAACACTACCTGAGCAAGGGATGGGAACATGGTTGTGGAGGCCCATGAAACAGCTGTCGGTGGCTATGACCAGCTGGAAGCAATGTCCTTGCCATTGTCAGAGGGTGAGTCACTGATAAGTCTCCTGTAGCTGGGGATGGTGGGCTGGGGTAAGGGTGATGGTGTGTTCAGTCCGTGGTAGGTTCGTGCTGTGGGCCCTGGCCTGGGCAGCTGCTAGAGGCTGTTCAGCATTGCCTGTCCAGATCTGGAAGAGAAGGCAAGTTTATTTAGCCCTCCATCCTGGTCTGTTTCCCGAGATTTCTTGCCTCTGTTCTTGCTAGATCATCACCTGTGGACTGCCATGCGCCTGGGATGAGCCAGAAGATTTGTCCTTTCCCAGAGCCTTGATCTCCATGAACACCCAGGAGTCAGCATTCTGCCTGACACATCAGGTGTACCCTTCCCTTTCCTAGCTGCCCACAGAAGATGATGAGGGAGCTCTGATGTCATTGCACATTGAGCAAGCCATACCGAAGCTCCCTTGTACCCACCACCTGCAGGGGCAAGTGTGGAAGAGCAAGTGAATTCCATACCTTGAGCGAGCCACGCCAAAGCTCCCTTGTACCCACCACCTGCAGGGGCAAGTGTGGAAGAGCAAGTGAATTCCACATTAACAGGGCCCACAACTGGGAGCCAGTGGCTGTGAACAGAGTTCCATTGTCAGGTTGTATCCTATCGGGACATTTTGGCACATGGCAAAGGTGCTCATCAGAACCTTAGGAGGCTACCTTGGTGAAGAGAGTAGCCAACCCACATCCTCGATCAGGTCTATGGTGGTCAGAATCCACTGCCAGCAATTGGTCAGATGCCCCAAGTTGTTGCACTATACCTTGAGCTGAAGGCCAGCATTTCTGGCAAGTAAGACGTAGTCTGTGAGTCAGTGACTTTGTAGGTCAAGTGGATCCTCACTGGGCCACCTCAGACCTCCATGACTGTTTTGTTACTGGTAGGTCTAGGCACGGATCTAGTGCACCAAGTGGATGGGCTAGATAGTTCTGACCAGTTTTTCTGTCCAGAGGCTCTGTCAAGATGCACTGCTTTATTGTGAGCTTGTTCACATATCACATACCTTTGGACTTTGTGGCTGAATTGCTTTATCTGTTTCCACAGCAGAGGTTACCATATGGAGATTCTCCTAACAGTCTAGTTCTGGGTGGTCCCATGGGCTGGCCATACAGCAAGACCATTAGCAATGGCCCATGAAGCTATGTGAAAGGGAGGGACTCCCTTCCCCAAAGCAGAAATGATTGCACAAGGTCTCCACTCCCCTCAGGGTCTTCAGGTGCCTCAGCCCTGCAAGCATTTTCCCTGAGGCCTGAGCTCAGATCAGCTTTTCTTGACTTGCAAGGCTGACCTCACGCTGTCTTAAGCAGCATCTAAAGAGAGTGCAGTCCCCTGGGCTGGAAAACTGGGGGGATGCTACCACCCCTGGTTCCAAAGAAAACCTGGAAGAAGAAGGTCCTGTCGAGAGAGCCTCCCTGAGAGGAGTGGCCCCCTGTGAAGGAACCCAGCCAGCCCTAAAGCAGCCTGAGGCAACCCCAGTGGACTTGGAGAGGCAAGGAGAAGACACCTGACCCACAAGGGAGGCTTGGGATTTTAAGTAGGGAGGTCATGGGAGGAAAGACCCGAGGGGGTGTGGTAGCTCACCTAATCCTCACGACACGCAATGAGGGTGGTAGTGCTACTCTCCCCCTTTGACAGTTGAGCAAACCGAGGTCCAGTGAGAATAAACAACTTGGAATTGTCTAAGAGCACACAGCTGGGAGTGGATAGAGGTGGGATTTAAAGCTAGGCCGTTAGGCACCAGAGATCCTGCTCTTAAAAAAAAAAAAAATAGGGTATAGGGGAGTTATCGTAAAAGGAGGGCACGGAGAAGATGTCAGGACACATAAGACTGTGATCAACAATCAGAGATGCTATTATGAAGCACTGACTGACTATATACCAGCCCCAGTGCTGGGTGCCATGGGGGTGGGCAGTTGACAGATGAACAAGATGCCGTGCTTGCAGGGTTTATAGGGTTTATAATCTAGTTGGAGGATTGGGAGGGAATATAGAAATGTGTGCAAATCAAATCCCAGCGGATTGTGATACATTCCACTGCCGAACTGAAGATAAAATGCTGGGAGCCCACCAAGGACAGAGACTATTCCCAGGTGGGTTAGGGAAGCGTTCTGGAGGTGTAGTTTAGGAAGCACTAAAGAAGTGTAATAGTACAAGGGGGAAGATAAGGGATTCCAGGGAAAGAAACCACAGGAGCAAAGATGTGGATGCATTTGGGGGATGACCAGCCATCTGGTTTGATTAGAGATGATTTTAGGTGGGGCCCAACAAGGCACTAAGCCACGCCGGATCCCACGGCAAGGTAGTGGTTTCCTTCTAGTTCTCCTTATGGAGAAAAACCTTAGTTTGGTGTTAGCATATCTCTCAAACACTAATACTTACTAATTTCTCTTTTTAACCCCAAATTCCCAGGCTCAGACACTTCCAGTGGGCAACCAAGCTCTGGTTGGAACTTCAGTAACATTGTTGTGTCTCCACTTGTCGTCGTCTTCTTTTTTTTAATTTTTTTTGACAGTTTCTACTTCAGCCAAATGATACAGCTTTTTAGTATACAGTTAATTATTTTTATTATGACTTTCTTTCACAGATACATTTATTTAAGGAAACAAGTCAGTTTAAAGGGACAACATTAAGGGGCGCCTGGTGGCTCAGTCGTTAAGCGTCTGCCTTTGGCTCAGGTCATGATCCCAGGGTCCTGGGATCGAGCCCCACATCGAGCTCCCTGCTCCACAGGAGGCCTGCTTCTCCCTCTCCCACTCCCCCTGCTTGTGTTCCCTCTCTCGCTGTCTCTCTCTGTCGAATAAATAAAATCTTTTAAAAAATATTTTAAAAAAATAAAATATTAACTCACTGTCATTTAAAAAATAAAAGGGACAATATTGAGCTAAAAATATTCAGGTGGCTCATGGCTCTGGCAAAAATCACAAAGGGGGTACCCGATGACTGGTGTTTGGGATACTCTGGCACAAGGTATAAAGCACATGAGGGAGAGTAAGGGGCGGAAAACAAGCCTGGAAAAGGGGTCAGATCATGGAGGGGCTAAACACCATGGTAAGGAGTGTGACCTTTATTCCATCAACCACAGTGAGGCGTAGTTTCAAGAAGAGGCAGTGAACTTGCCCGCTTGGCAGAACTTGGCTCTGGCCTCTGAGCAGAGGGAAAGGGGAAGACTGGGAGCTGGGGCAGCTCAGGGGAGGCCATTGTAAGACTCAAGGTGAACAGGTAGAGGGCTCTGGACTAGGGTTAAGGTGGACAACTGAAAGAGAAGGAGGAGCCAGGTTCTGGCCGCCCCCTCAGGCTGTTCTTAGAGCACTACGTGGCTGACGGGGTGAGTACAGATTTCTTTCCCAAAGGCGATTGGCCTTTCAGCCTCCAATCCTGCTCTCCAGTGTGATTTACTAAGAAAATTCAATAGTCTCTGACTGGGTTTTACTGAGGAAAGGTAACATCCAAAGAGGCCAGCCCACCCCAGTCTCTCTGACCTCATTAGGGGGAGTTAGAAGTACAGTCAGAGATGATGGAGAAAACTGAATCATGTCTCCTTATTCTGTGTTTCCTCATGGGAAAAGTCCGCTGCCGGCTTGACCTCTTGCGGTGACTCATTCTATTCCATACAACGAACATCTGATTTTCTAAGACCTTCAGCTTCATTTCACTGAACATAAGCCGTTCAAGGATCTTGTCCTGGAGGGCAAAGCAGGCGTGCAGTCTCTCTATTTCTTTCGTGTTCAAGACGTAGCTGTTGGGTTTGGCTTCAGGAGGCTTTGGTTTCTCTGCCTCTTCCTAGACCCCCCACCCCCAAAAAGGAAACATTAATTAATAGTGATTTATACACGTCCCGTTAATCAATCCTCACAACCAGCCTGCAAGAAGAGCATCTTTGCCACATCTTGTGAGTGAGAGAGTTGGGGTCCAGTGAGGAAAGGCCCTCTTCTCAGTTTGGGAACCCCTAAACTCCTAGGACCCATACTTGTCTTTGGTTCCTAGGAATAAATGAAATGGCCTGCTCATCTGCACTCCCAGGAGACATAAAGCACTTAACCCAGATAGATCTGTCTCCGGAGCGTGTGTTTCTCTCAGTGTGCCCGAGATTGTTTTCAGGCCTCATAAAATCACCACCTGCCAAGTTTCCTGTGGTCTCATGATACACTCTGATCTCTATAATCCTCATCTGCCTCTATGCAATTAATAATACTTAATTTTTTTTTTTTTCTTTTTGGAGTCAGCTACAAATTCCTCATCCTTAAAACCATTTTAAATATTTCAGACATGCAGGGGCACCTGGGTGGCTTAGTCGGTTAAGTGTCTGCCTTCGGCTCAGGACATGATCCCAGCGTCCTGGGATCGAGCCCCGGCTTTGGGCTCCCGGCTCATCAGGGAGTCTGCTTCTCCAGCTCTCCCTCTGTCTCTGCCCCTTCCCATGCTTGTGCTCTCTCTCTCTCTCTCAAATAAATAAATAAATGAAATCTTTAAAAAATATGTTTCAGACATGCAAAAATAAAAGTGAATATTACAGCAAATACCCATGTTCCCATACCAGCATGAGAAATAAAATATGACAAATATAACTGGAGTCCCCCATGGGTCCCTCTCATAGAGTTCCCTCCCTCTCTGAACCTCATCTCAACTGCAATCCTGAATTCAGAATTTATTTTTTCCATATATTTCTTTACACCAGTGGTTCTCAATGGGAGGCTATTTTGCCTTCCCCAATGGACATTCGGCAATGTCTGGAGACATTGTTGGTTGTCACAAAAGGGGGGCAAGAGGTGCTCTTGGCATCTGTGGATAGAAGCTAAGGATGCTGCTAAACATCCTACAGCACACAGGACAGGCCCTCACGATTAAGAATTATCCCACTCAAAATATCAAACAGGCAGAGGTTGAGAGATCCAACCTTAATACATTTTCACTACAGTCACAAACAAGACAAGGTATTGTTTCATGTGTGGTTTTTTTTTTTTTAACTTTACATAAAAGTTGTCATAATCTGGGTGCATTTCTGCTGTCTTCATTATGCCATTCTAGAGATGTGTCTGTGTTCCACAGGTATCTTTTGTTCATCCATTTAAAATTTTTCCACCTTCACGTAGTTGTTACTGTTGCCAAACCATGTTGACATCAAACATGAAGCAGGAGAGTCTGGGATGGTACCTATTTTTTTTTTTTAAACAAGTTTTCTCTCTTTTTTTCTTTTTACTGAAGTATAATTAGTATACAGTGTTATATTAGTCTCGGATATACAACACAGTGATTCTATGATTGTCTACATTTTTCAGTGCTCATCCAGATAAGTGTACTCTTTTTTTTTTTAAGATTTTATTTCTTTATTTGACAGAGAGAGAGATAGCGAGAGCAGGAACACAAGCAGGGGGAGTGGGAGAGGGAGAAGCAGGCTTCCTGTGGAATAGGGAGCCCGACGCGGGGCTCAATCCCAGGACCTTGGGATCATGACTTGAACCGAAGGCAGACGCTTAACGACTGAGCCACCCGGGCGCCCCAGATGAGTGTACTCTTAATCTCCTTTATCTGTTTCACTCCTTCCCCACCTACCTCCCCTCTGGCAACCACCAGTTTGTTCTCTGTGGGTTTTTTTGTTTTTGTTTTTGTTTTTGTCTAGGGATGGTCCCTGTTTTCCAGCCCAGGCAACTGAAGCCTTGTGAAGGAAGTGCTTTGTCCTCCATCATCCAAGTGGGAATTATAGAACAAGGGCTTAGACTAGAGCTGTGGATTTTTCAGTCTTGCCCCATTATCCTGACATCTTCCCTGGTCCCCATATCCCCAGTCAAGCTGTAAATATCCCATCATCCTTAGCTGAAGCTAAGGCCCCTCTTGCTCACCTGCCGGGGCTCTGGGGGGGTGGGCTTGAATTCATGCTTGACCAGCCAGTTGCTAAGCAACAGCAGAAGGAATAGGAACCCAAACAAGGCTGGCTTATAGCTGATCAACCAAGCCACCAATGCTCCTATGGTGCCCGAGGAAGCAAGTATCCCATGGAGATTCCTAAAAAGAGACATAAGTTCCCCCAGCATTATGGCTTGGAGGCACCCAGGCCCCAAGACCCTGCGTTGGTGACCCCTCTAGGACAGTTGCCCGCCATGACAGGAGCCATGGCCGCCCCCTCCTCCGAGTCATAACCAGCCACCCTCTCCCAGCTGTCACATAACAATATTAACTACTCCTGTCTTGAGCAGCCACTATGTGCCAGACTTTGACAGGCAGTTTGTAAGCAACATATCATGATGTCCTCACAACAGCCAGGTGATGTCGGCCTTAGTGATACCTCATTTATTCAACAGTACTTCCAGGCCTAGCCACTGGGAATAAAATGGCCAGCAGCATAGAGCCCCTACCCTCATGGTGAGGGAGACTGCAAAGAAAAGTTACCCGAGATCTGGAAATAAGGCAAAGAGATTCCTCTGAGCTTGTTTACACAGTCATATCAGAATATTGTCCGGCTGGTCCACCTGCTGGTCATCTGCTGCTTTAGGGGAAGGTAACTTTGACAATACTGTTTAATATTGATTAGGGTCCTGACTCTGTAAAGTCAGATGTTAACTTTTTAAAAGTTGGATAAGTTGTTCCAGCAATTACACTTCTGGGTATATATCCAAAATAAATGAAAACTGGGTCTTTTTTTTTTTTTTAAGATTTTATTTATTTATTTGACAGAGAGTGAGAGATCACAAGCAGGGGAAGTGGGAGAGGGAGAAGCAGTCTCCCCACTGAGCAGGGAGCCTGATGCGGGGCTCGATCCCAGGACCCTGGGATCATGACCTGAGCTGAAGGCAGACGCTTAACCGACTGAGCCACCCAGGCGCCCCTGAAAGCTGGGTCTTACAGAGCTATTTGTACACCCATGTTCATAGCAACATTATTCACAATAGCTAGAAGGTGGAAGCAAACCCAAAATCCAACAACAGATGAATGGATAAACAAAATGCTGTATACACATACAATGGAATTGTTCAGCCTTAAAAAAGGAAGGAAATTCAGAAACCCCCGAGGGCTGTTGCCGCGTTCTCCTTTCCTACCAACCATAAGACGTGAAACTGCTGCCAAGATGCAGATTTTCATGAAAACCCTTCTGGGAAAGACCATCACTCTTTGAGGGTTGAACCCTCAAATACAATAGAAAATGTAAAAGCCGAGACCCAGGATCAGGAAGGAATTCCTCCCGATCAGCAGAGACTGATCTTCACTGGCAAGCAACTGGAAGGTGGACATACTTTGTCTGACTCCAACATTCAAAAGGAGTCTACTCTTCATCTCGTGTTGAGACTTCCTGGTGGTGCTAAGAAAAGGCAGAAGTTTTACGCCACTCCCAGGAAGAATAAGCATAAGAGAAAGAAGGTTAAGCTTGACATCCTGAAATATTCTCTAAGGTGGATGAGAAGGGCAACATCAGTCACTTTCAGACAAATGTGGCGCTGGTTCTTATGACTAGCCACTTTAACAGATGCTGTGGCAAATGTCTGACTTACCGCTTCGACAGACCAGGGTACAAGTGATTGTATACGGATTGATACAAGACGTGAACTAACATTACAAAAAAAAAAAAAAAGAGGAAGGAAATTCTGACATACGCTACAACATGGGTAAACTTTGAGGTGATTATGCTCAGTGAAAGAAGCCAGTCCCCAAAACACGAAAGTCATCTGATTCCACTTATATAAGATACCCAGAGTAGTTAAATTTATACAGACAGAAAGCAGCATGGTGGTTGCCAGGAGCTAGGAGGCAGGGAGAAATGACAAGTTGTGGTTTAATGGGCATGGAATTTTATAAGATGAAGAGAGTTCTGGAGACTGTACAACCATGAGCATATAATTAACCCTAGCGAACTGTACACTTAAAAATGGTTAAGGTGATAAATTTTATGTTATGTTTTTTACTACAATTTTTAACAATTAAATTAGTTATTTCCAGGAAAAAAATGGGTAAGTTGCAAATGATTTTTTTTTCCAAATAGAAGCAAGTTAGTTGTGTCTGATAGAAAAGATAACCTCAAAGTCTACAGTTTTATGGACTTGGAAGACATTAAAACCATTTGTTTCTTATTTAACTTTGCAATTTTATTCCAGCATTCTCTTTTCCACTGACTAGTGACTATATATCAGCTTTTCATGTTTTCCTTTGAACCAGCATTGTCATCTTACTGGTTCTCTAATGAATTAAATAAATCTTTGACATATGCTCACTATTTTGTATGGGAGTTCTTCATGTTCAATTGTCTATTTTAATGGCTATGTCTAATATATCCAATTAGTGGCTACTTATTGGGCCTTTAGGTTAATTCTTCTTTATTGCTATTATATATAAGTTGAGGTAAACAGTATTAAAGTTAAATCTCTGTACACATGCTTAAACAGTTTCCTAGAATGTCCTCTGGAAAGTGGAATTGCTGGATTAAAGGATATACATATTTTAAAAATCTAATTTTAAGTTTAATCAAATTATTAAATGTGCAAACCAGTCAGAACTAAAGAGTTTAAAACAAGCAATCTTTGCTCTATCTCCCCCTTTCCATCCTCAAGTTATATGACTCAGACAACTCGTTCCAACTTTTTAACTGTTTCTTCTGGTATGTATCTTGATATATCTAAATTGTATGCTTGTACTGTTATTTCTTGATTTCTCAATTTTGACATTCTATATTATCTTTTTATGATGGAAGATGAGGATTTAGCTCCCATGCAGAATCTCCCCCATTCCCATTTCGTCCCTGCTTCTGTAAACCCCTCTCATTCCTCTCCTCCACACACTTTCTCTTTCTTCCATTCTCTCAATATAATTCTATCCCTTTGGTTAAAACAACATTAATGCTTATGTTACTATGGCTATGTCAGTGTGGTTCATAGCTGAACCGTATGTGGAACTACAATTACACTTTTTTTTTGTACATCTTCTAAATTTCCTGGACTTAATTGTCTCCTTTTTCCCGTTTGCCTAGGTTAAAAAAAAAATTCAACTTCATTGAAGTACAATTGACATAAAGTAAAATATGAAAATATTTTACGTGTATGGCACAGTGAGTTTTGACTAACGTGTACACCACCCAATCAAGATAAAAAAACATTTCCATCAACCCCAGCAAATTCCCTCCTGCTGTTTTGCAGTCAACTCTCACCTTCATCCCAAGTGATCACTGATTGGATTTGATCATTAGAGATTAGTTTTACCAGTTCTTTAAACTTCATGTAAGTGGGATAATTTTTTGCAAAATTACAGTTTGAAGGGTGCCTGGGTGGCTCAGTCAGGAGAGCATGCAACTTTTTTTTTTTTTTTTAAGATTTTATTTATTTATTTGACAGAGAGAGACACAGCGAGAGAGGGAACACAAGCAGGGGGAGTGGGAGAGGGAGAAGCAGGCTTCCCGCTGAGCAGGGAGCCCTATGCGGGGCTTGATCCCAGGACCCTGGGATCATGACATGAGCTGAAGGCAGACGCTTAAGGACTGAGCCACCCAGGCGCCTCCAAGAGCATGCGACTTTTGAGTTCGACCCCACATTGGGTGTAGAGATTACTTTAAAAAAAAAAAAATTTTTTTTTTAAAGAAAGAAAATTATAGTCTGAAGAGAGAGAGACATATAAAAAAGCAATTATATTTGTGTGTAATGAGTAGAAACAAGCTTGAAGAAACACAAGCTGTTCCAGTGTTGGGTCACTAAAGGAGTCCTGGAGGAATTTAAAAAATAAACCACCACCACCATCTGCAGCACTAGAAAGAATTAACCTGGAGTAAAAAGAGGTGTTATGTATGGAAGACATAGGGAGTGGGAGGAGGTGTGAGTGAGGGAGTGCTAATAGGGAGTCCGGACGTAAGGAAGAACAGGAACACCGCCCTGGAGGCAACAGCAATCCGGTTTGGACTCAAACCTGGATTTCCTAACTTCTGTCCATTTTATTACCACGAAACTCATTTGCTCTCCGAGATTTCCCCAGTCCAAGCAGGACAGTTATGATACAAAATGATTCCCCAGTTATGGTTCAATGTTTTCCCCCTCAGTAAACTGTAAGCTCTTTGAAAGCAAAAACTTCATAATTAAACCCTCGTCACGTAGTAAGCATTAATAAATATTGGTTGAACTGACGAATGAGTAGATAAATGAATGAATGAATGAATGAATGAACGAACGAACGAATGAATTCATGGGTGTATGCAAGTCCCTGGAGGAAATGGTCGCCCTCGGAGGTGCAGTATGGCCCAGAAGCCTTAGGACCGGGAAGGCGCTGGGGCCCACTTCAAAGGCCAAGACGACGCTCTAGGAAAGCACTGTGCTCCGTGCGGTGGTGTCGCTCTAGCCGCGAGGACGCCGCTCTATGGCAGCCGGGAAGGCGGGGCGGTGGGGCACCGGGGCCTTTTTGTCCGGACGCGGCGGGAGCGCGCTCAGCGCGTGCGTACGCGGCGGCGTTTGGCAGCGAGCTACCGCTGTGAAGTGAGGCGAGGCGAGGCGGCTCCGGACCCACGGACCGACAGACCGAGCGGCCCCTTCGGCCGTCGGCGGCCAGGCGGCCAGAGATGTTGTCTGGGAAGAAGGCCGCGGCGGCCGCGGCGGCAGCAGCAGCGGCGGCGGCGGGGACTGAGGCCGGCCCCGGGGCAGCGGGCGGCGCAGAGAACGGCTCCGAGGTGGCCGCGCCGCCCGCGGGCCTGTCGGGCCCTGCCGAGGCCGGGCCGGGGGTGGCCGGGGAGCGCACTCCCCGCAAGAAAGAGCCTCCGCGGGCCTCGCCCCCCGGGGGACTGGCCGAGCCGCCGGGGTCCGCCGGGCCTCAAGCCGGGCCTACGGTCGTCCCTGGATCTGCGACCCCCATGGAAACGGGAATCGCGGAGACTCCGGAGGGGCGACGGACCAGCCGGCGCAAGCGAGCGAAGGTGAGGCGCGACCCCCTCCCGCACGCCTCAGACCCCGGTGCCCGGCTCCCTCGAGGTTGTCCAGCCCCGGCCACCCCCGCCTCCGCAGCCCGTCGGGTGGCCACCGCACCTCCGCGTCAGCTGGGTGGGTGGGGTGAGGGAGGGGAAGGGCTTCGCGCGGGTTGAATGCGCTCTTTGTGCCGGGACCCGGCCGTCTCGGGAAAGGGGGATTGATGGGAGGGGTGGTTGACTCCTTACATCTGTACGCCTTTTCCTTTCTCTACTGGGAGACCTGGCTCTCTGACGTGGAGTTCTGGCTGGCGTTGTTGGAGGCAGGCATGGCTTGTTGGTCCGCGGATGTGTGTGGAGAGGGGCCCTGGGCAGTGTTGAAGGAGTTTCAGCTGGGCGCGCCTTGAGCTGTAGGGTAATGCTAAAGAAATGGTCTTAGCCCGGGAGACGGAAAAGAACGGTTGTGTTTTTGTTTTTGTTTTTGTTGTTTTTAGGCCTGCTGTGCGCTGGTTTTCCTCTTTTTCCTTTTATTCTCTCCACGATCTTTTGACGTAGATTTTTACAGATGAGGAAGCTGATGAAGAGGGCTAATACCAACTAGTCAAGGTGCAAAATATATGGGAAGAAAAAGGCTTGTCACCCGAACAGTATGTACAGACAACAGCTGCCTCGCATCTATGGGCGCCAGATGCTGTGTTCAGGGCGTCACTAATGTTTTGTTTTTGCTGAATGCCAGTGGGCAGGTATTGTTAGCCCCGTTTTAAGAAATGAGTAAGCAGAGGCACACAGTTGAAGCAACTTGCCCAGAGTCACGACACAACGGAGTTAAGTGGTGGAACTGGAATCTACGCTTATGTTGTGATAAGGTATCTTCAGCCTCAGACAAAGGACCACATGGAACACCAACTGTGCAGGGCACTAAGGCAGTACTGGGGCACAGACTTTTTAGACTTGGGTGTTTTCTGGAGATTCATACTTTTAAAATATTTAAAATCATGCAATTCATGTAGCTTACGCATGTAACAAGTTTTCTGTCTGTATATAATTTTTAAATGGATGTGCCAAGTCTGTGTGTGAAGAGCTTCTTGAGATGAGTATTACCCAGACTGAGCCCTCAGATTCAACTGTCCACTTGAGAGATCTCCAAGAATAAAAACCGTGTGCTAAAAAGAGGAAAGGCTTTTGGGGGCTTTTACCAAAGCATGGTTTAGAAAAGACACAGGTTGGAGACTCCCAGCTCTCAGAAATGAAATAGAGGGCAGAAGCCCAAGGGTTTTTATTTTACTATTTTAATAGAAAGTATGGCCAGAAACCATGTGATAAGATATTTCTTAAAAACAGGTTTATTGAGATAAATCACATGATAAAATTTACCATTTTTAAGTGGTACAGTTGAGTGGTTTTTAGCATATATTCACAAAGTCTTAGAACCACCACCATAGTGCATTTTGGGACATTTTCACCACTCTCAAAAGACACCTGTACCATTGGCAATCATCCCCATTCTCCCCAACTCCCACCCGGACCAACCACTGATTTACTTTCTGTCTGTATGAATTTGCCTACATCTTATATAAACGGAATCAGAGAATATGTGGCCTTTGTGTCTTGCTTTAGTATGTTTTCAAGGTTCATCCATGTTGTAGTATTTCCATTTGGTATTTGATGACTCTGTGGCATAATAGCCCATTATATGGATATACCACATTTTGTTTATCCATTCATCATTTTGTTGGACATTTGGGTTTCCTCTTTTTGCTAGTTATGAATAATGCTGTGAACATTTGTGTACAGTTTTTGTGTGAACATAGGTTTTCAGTTCTCTTGGGTATATACTAGGAGTGGAATCACTAAGTCACCATCTCTGTTTTTTTGTTTTTGTTTCACTTATTTAAATTCAGTTAACATATAGTGTATTATTAGTTTCAGATGTAGAGTTCAGTAATTCATCAGTTGCATGTAACACCCAGTGCTCATTACATCATGTGCCCATCACCCGGTTATCCCATCCCCCCCCTTTTTAAAAAGTTTATTTGTTTAATTTGAGAGAGAGAGAGCATGGGGGGGGGGCGCAGAGGGATAGGGATAAGTAGACTCCCTGTTGAGCAGGGAGCCTGACACAGCACTCCATCCCAGGACCCTGGGATCATGACCTGAGCCCAAGGTAGATGCTTAACTGACTAAGCCACCCAGGCACCCCAGTGTTTTACTTTTTGAGGAATTGCCACTTTTCCACATTAGCTACACCATTTTACATTTCCATTAGCAATATATAAGGTTTCCAATTTCTCCATATCCTTGTCTTGATACTTTTTATTATAGCCATCCTAGTGATGTGAAATGGTGTCTCATGGTTTTGATATGCATTTCCCTAATGACTGATGATATTGAACATCTTTTCTTATGCTTATTGGTCATTAGTTGTATATCTTCTTTGATGAAATGTCTGTTCAAATCCTTGGCTTCTTTTTAAATTGGGTTGTATTTTTATTGTTGAATAGAATTCTTTATATATGGTGATTATTAAAGTTTTTAATTTTAATGTCTGATTTATCTATTTTTCTTTTGTTCCTTTTGCTTCTGGGGTTATATCCAAGAAACCATTGCCTAATCCCGTGTCAGGAAGATTTACTTTCATGTTTTCTCCTAGGAGTTTAGCTTTAGCTCTTGAATTTGGATCTATGATTATTTTGGAGTGAATTTTTGTATATGGTATGAAATAGGAGTTCAATTTCATTCTTTTTCATGTGGATATCCACTTGTCCCAGCACATTTTATTGAAGACTATTGTCTCCCCCTTTGAATGGTTGGCACCCTCGTTTATTGCCCATAAATGTAAAGGTTTATTTCTGGACTGTCATTTCTGTCCCATTGATCTGTATTTTTTGTTCTTATGCCAGTACCACACTGTCCTGATTACTGTGACTTTGTGTAATAAGTTTTGAAATCAGGAAGTTTGATTTCTTCAACTTTGCTCTTTTTCAAGACTGTTTTGGATATTCTGTGACCCTTGTATTTCCACATGAATTTTAGAATCAACTTATCAGTTTCTGCAAAAAGGCAACTGATATTCTGATTGGGATTGCCTTGAATCTGTAGATCAATTTGGGACATACCATAAGATTTCTGTCTTTGTAATTATCTTGTGTTTATTCTAATTCCTGCTACACTATTTTTCTATTGTGATTAACTCAAACTCTAAAGAGAAAAGTGGGTTACCTGTTTATTTGAGGGAGCAACTAGGAAATAAGGAACTAGGGAAACTGACCTATTCCTGGCCAGTCTTGGGAGCCAGAGGAAACAGACCTCAAGGGATAGAGTATCTATTAAAGGAAGAAAAAGCAAGCTGAGTCCAGTATAGATAGACTGGCCTTGCTTCAAGAGTTCTGAGGTATATGTGGGGGGGGGGGGGGTATATCTGTATCTAGAACTATAGATTCAATAGGAGACATAGATACAGATGTTATATATATAGTTATGTAACTAAAACAAGGTTCAGGGTATTGGAAGGGGTCCATGCAATTGGGAGGTCCCTAAAGCTTAAGTTTCATAAGTTTCAGAATAAAATCACCTCTGAGTGTGTATGCTAACATTATGGCAAAATATTTAAGGTTTGGAATTATTACGTTGGGTTGGGACTTCAGGACTGGTGGCCTTCAACTGGGCCTTGAAAAAGCGCAGAATTTAGGGCGCCTGGGTGGCTCAGTTGGTTAAGCGACTGCCTTCGGCTCAGGTCATGATCCTGGAATCCCTGGATCGAGTCCTGCATCGGGCTCCCTGCTCGGCAGGGAGTCTGTTTCTCCCTCTGACCCTCCCCCCTCTCTCTCATTCTCTCTCTCTCAAATAAATAAATAAAATCTTTAAAAAAAAACACGCAGAATTTAGAAAAGTATTCTGGAAAAGGGGTTAATTTTTCTCCCTATGATTCGTTTTCCTCAGGAAAATAAACCCTACCTTGTAAGGTTTTTAGGTTTAGATATAATGTAAACAAAACGCTTACTGCAGTGTCTGGCTTAGAGTACAGTGCACAGTAATTAAGTACTACCAGCGGAGAAAGGAAGTGAAACATGCTTGGTATATTATGCAGCGGTTTGAGAAGCAACAGGGAGTCCAGAGTGGACACTTGAACATTGGGAACAATGGGCAAATGAATTTAAATGAAAATGGCGTTTTTCTAGGAGCAAGATAAATTGGAGGGAACCAGTAGTGTTTGGATTGTAGAGTCATGTCCAGGTTATAGAGAGAGCCAAACACTGGATCTGTGCTATTCAGTATGGTAGCCACTAGCCCATGTTACTAGTACGACTGAGGAAACTTGAGTTTTTACTTTTAAACTCAAAGAGCCACATGGTAAGTGCTCAATACCCACATGTGACTACTGCTGCCATATTGGAAGCACAGATGCAGAACATTGCCGTTATCACAGAAAATGGTATCGGACAGTACTGCACTAGACTGAGAAGTGCAGACCTTAAGTGCTATGACAGTTCGGAGAAAGGAAAGACATATTTGCAAGTTTGGAATAGTTAGGAAATAATTTGCAGAAGGGATGAGCCTTGAATTCTGGCATCAGATTAACAGAAAAGGGTGGAAGTAGCTTTTAGGGAGTTTAGGGATCTGTAGAACAACATTGAGGATTTTTTGACTAGTGTGTTAGAAAATGGCTAAAGGTAAGTTCAGCTGGTTAGAGCCAAAAAGTTTATATGCTGGTTTGAAAAATTTGGCATTCACCTTTAAAACTATTTAAAAATATCACGTATTTGGAAAATCAGTCTGGCAGTTGTGTCCTAGGTGACTAAAAAGGAAGAAAGATTAAAACAAAAAGACTGGAGCTTTAAGATGACTGGAAAGTGAATGAAGCATTGTAGCAAGGGTGAAGAAGAGAAGGGAGAGACTAGAGGTGTAAATTTCAGAGTCACCTGTGTAAAGGTAAGAATAATTACCTTACTGACTTATATCTGCCTATTGGACGTCTTTATGTCCTTGGTTGTAAGTAGTTGTAGAACCTCCAAAGTCTCAGGATTTTGCTTAGGGATAAGAAGTTCCCAGTACTTTGTGTTTAGAGTATCTATTCCTTTTTTCAGGGGAATAGTTTTTTTTAATTTTTTAAAGTGTGTATGATTCTTTCAGATGGTTTAACTTTTTATTAAGTTGAGAAACTTTTTTTTTTTTTACAAAATAAAACTTTATGCAAAATCCCAAAATAAAGTAGTTTTATATTAAGCCTGTTTTATATTAAGTTTAAATTAATAGTTGCGGTGTTATATTGGTCTCAGAATCCAGTTTTATTTCTGTGTTTTGTTTATGAAGTATTGTGAAGACCCAGTGCTTGATAAGATCCAGTGATTGATAAGTAGTGCAAATGGTTGTTTTTTTAGCTTGTCTTCTCAGGACACCGTCTTGGTTGAACAGATTGCAGAAGAAATTTCATTCTTACGTCTACCCCAGATTTAGTACCCAAGCAGTACAAGTTCATGTGTTTGTTGGTAGTCTCCAAAGGATTATGGTTTGGTTTAACACATATAAATGTGTATTTAAATGAAATCCTGAAGAATTTTAGGTTCTGTAAAATACAGATTTTTTTTTCCTTGTTGTTTTTAAATACTACCCTTAGATATTTTTGCTCCTACTTCTAGGTGTTTTTCTAATCTCTTTTTTTCCCTGAAAACTAAGAACTCTATTCCTTCTTAGTGGCTACTACTTCATCAAAAGATTGGATTAAACAATGTTAAAAAGAGTGTTTTTGCTGCAGAACTTCTCAGTAACTTTAATGTGCATCGTGATTGTCCTAGAGGGGGCCTGTAAAGAATGCGGTGTTTCCCAGACTTGATCATGGATTCCTTTTGTGGAACATCCTTTGGAAAGAGCTGAATGAACTACTGCAGTAGAAAGGATCTTATATTATTGTTTCAGAATTTGCTCATTGCCCAGTTCCTTGGTAGGCACTTGTTAAATGATTATTGATTAAATGGATGAGATTGATGAACAGAGGATTAAAGGGCTAAATCTTTGGGGTAGGGAGGGGTCAAGCACTATTGAGGGCTAAAAGAAGGGAAACTGCATACTTTAAACATGTATTACATTTTCTGACCCTTCTTCCTTTTTGAAACTTTTCCTCCTTGCTGCTTTTTTGTCTGTTGTCCTGAGGTCTGTTTTTACAGTTTATCTCAGTCAAGTAGGGTGAAGTTTAGTATGTAGATTTCTGGAGGTTTATTGTAAAGTCTCTCGATTTACCTGAAAAGGACCAAGAGTTTGCAACTAGAATTTCAGTTTATTAAGGGCAGGGAATCTCTCATTCATAATTGTTTTCTCCATTGTGGCCATGTACTCAGTGTTCTGTATTTGATAGATGAATACTATTATTCATGTGTTAAATAAGAATCTTTTTTTTTTTTTTTTAAGATTTTATTTATTTGCGAGAAAGAGAATGAGAGACAAAGAGCATGAGAGAGAGGAGGGTCAGAGGGAGACACAGACTCCCTGCCCAGCAGGGAGCCTGACGTGGGACTCGATCCCGGGACTCCAGGATCATGACCTGAGCCGAAGGCAGTCGCTTAACCAACTGAGCCACCCAGGCGCCCTAAATAAGAATCTTAGAGCGTGGGTCAGAACTGTTTAATTTATCCTTAATTTTTGTTTCCATTTTCTGACACAATCCATGTTACCTCCCCTAGCCACCCACTCTCCTGCCCGTCTGTGTTCATGTCAAAAGAAAGAAAGAAAGAAAGAAAAAGAAAAATATAAAAGTAGCCAGCCATATGGAGCTATTTCAGAGACATTTCAAAAATTAAGGTAGAGTACACTTGCTGTAATCCACAGGACTATTAATTTCAGAAACCTAATAAATTAGGTACGTTATTTGTGGAAACCATATTGTCTTTGCTCTGTCTCCACATCTAATAAATTTTTATTTCATTCATTTTATCTTTTCATTGAATCTGAAATAGAGAGCTGTTGCTATGGCTTCCTGGAATCTTTTTAGGGTGGGAGTCAACAGTGACAGTTTGCTAGTGTTCTAAGGTTGGTGACTATTTGTAATACCATATTACACATTTTGGCAAACAGGTCCATTATAATCTTCCCTATCTTAAGTTGCTTTACCCCCAATAAGACATTCACCAAGATTGTTTCCTCTTTATACTTAATACCTGGTCTCTCCTTTTATAACCAGAGTGTAAATTAGTAGTAAGACCTGTGGTCTCCCTTTCTGTTTCACTTAATTTGTTGTATTAAGGATTCTTTGCTTTCATCATTCAGCTTTCTTAGGTCATTGGTTATTTTTTAAGCAAAATGTGCTTTTTCATAGTTTCAATTTGGCTGCTGCCATTTGCAGTTTTTATTACCTACCATTTCTCCCCATTTGGTTTCTGGGATTTTGCTGTTCCACTTTGGAATAGTAGAAGTACAGGCCTGGCCTGCCTGATAGACTTGTTATTCTAGTTGACTATATTTTTATCTCAGGGTTATTTTAGTCTTTGTTGAAACTTCTGGTGTGTGAACATGATGTATACATACATATGAATACATATGCACATACAAACATATATATGCATACACATATTTTAAAAGAGTTCTTAGGAGTTGTAGAGAGCCTCAGATTCATTGATCTGAATGTCAGTAGTATGATGTAAAATTGATAGATTGGGCTAAATCTGAACTGACACGAGATTGTTTCATGAGAGATTTTAGGGTTTTTGTTTTTAAGTTTATTTATTTAAATAATCTCTACACCCATCATGGGCTACACTCGAACTCATGACCCTGAGATCAGGAGTCACATGCTCTTTCGACTGAGCCAGCCAGGTGCCCCGAGATTTTGTTTTTAATAGCTACCTATTATGAGCTAGCTTGTTCCTTGTTATTTGCTTATTTCCCTAAAAATCTGAATTTAAAAGGCAGTTCACATTCACTGATGGTTCCAAATTGAGTCCCTGGTTTTAGATGTTCACTGTATTTAGCTTTCCCTGGTATAATCTCCATATAGGTAGAGTACAGAGAGATGGATGAAAGCTTGGCCAACCTCTCAGAAGATGAGTATTATTCAGAAGAAGAGAGAAATGCTAAAGCAGAAAAAGAAAAGAAGCTTCCCCCACCACCCCCTCAAGCCCCACCAGAGGAGGAAAATGAAAGTGAGCCTGAAGAACCATCTGGTGAGTTATAGTAACCAACTAGTTTTATTTTATCTTGGAAATAAGAATAAATTGATTAATTCCTATTCTACAGTGTTATTTATGTCTTTATCTTTGGTTTATACTCGGATATTGGTCATGTGTCTGTAGTGTATTCATGTGTGTGTATGTATATATATGTATATACATACATATACACATGCATACATATACAGTGGTACTGATATTTTGTGTATGTGTCTGTACATGTATAGAAGCAAAGTAAAAAATGGTGATGGAAGGATAGTGGCAGTATAAGGCACTTGGAAATTGGAGAAATAAACAATTCGAGAAAACATACAGAAAGCCAAATCTAAAGACCAAACCCCTTAGATTTATCTCTGATTCAGAATTTGTAGATAGAATGGTTCAGAAATTATTCTGGTTAAATTATGCATTTACCACATGGTTAGATACTTTCTGATAAAACATTCAGAGTGGGGATCAGTTTTGAGAACAGTTTCCTGGTGAACAAATGTAAAAATATGAGGTCAAAAAGAAAACGCCCAAGGGGCCTTTCAAGTGGCCATTCCAAGGAATAGTAGAAGAAAACGCTATGAAGAGATTCTAAACTCAAAGTCTTCCTATGACAGTGGAAAGATTATTGGAGACTAAAGTATTGGTTTCAGAGCTTCAAACATCTTTGAAGAATTCTCACTAACATCCCCACAGACTAAGACCTACTGAGGATTCCCAGACCACATAGGGGTACCTTTCTGGTTTGGAGAGACCAAACAAAAGCAGAATCTTAATTAATTTTTCCTATCTTCTGGCCTTAATAGCATTTCATTAACTCTTCTTGATTTTGAATTTTTACTGAGTTTTTCTCCTTAAAATACTTTTTGTAACTTTAATAGCTCCAGGTCCATTTACCTCTCTAATTCTTTTAGTCCTGCATCTTTTTCTTTTTTTTCTTTCTTTTTTTTTTAAGATTTTATTTATTTATTTGACAGAGACAGCAAAAGAGGGAACACAAGTGGGGGCAGCTGGACAGAGAGAAGCAGGCTCCCCACTGAGCAGGGAGCCTGATGTGGGGCTCCATCCCAGCATGCTGGGATCATGACCTGAGCGGAAGGCAGACACCTAATGACTGAGCCACCCAGGCGTCCCATAGTCCTGCATCTTTTAAAAACAAAATGTCTGTTTCAGATCCCATCTGCTGTATCTTGCATGACTTGCATAGGTACTCAGATACAGACATATTTAATTTGAGAAGTTTTATCTTTTGTTTTAGTATTTTTGGGGGGAGAGGTTCTCCCCTGTGATGTTATATAAATCACCAGATGTTATTTATTTTTTTTTAAAGGATTATTACTGATGTATCACTTGAGAGAATTACAGGTCAGGTGTTAATTTAAATTCAGATTTACAACTTACCAGATTCTGACCAAAACTCTCAAAAATTAAAATTTATAATTTCATTAATTATAATAAAGTATAATAAAAACATGGTTTGAGAACATTTAAACAAGAGGATTAGATTCTGGGTTCAGTTTATCTCAGGAATCCAGGATTTTCTAAGAATGGTTTTCCTAAAACTTTCTTAAAATGACTTCTTGGGGGTGCCTGGGTGGCTCAGTCAGTTAAGCAACTGCCTTCGGCTCAGGTCATGATCCTGGAGTCCTTGGATCCAGTCCCGCATCAGGCTCCCTGCTCAGCAGGGAGTCTGCTTCTCCCTCTGACCCTCCCCCCTCTCATGTGCTCTCTCTCTCGCTCTCATTCTCGCTCTCTCGAATAAATAAATAAAATCTTAAAAAAAAAAAACTATTAAAAAAAATGACTTCTTGGGCAATTATTGGCAGTGATCTGTTACCTCTGGGTCTGTTGTGCCTAAGGCAAATGTAGCCTTCTCCATACCTCAAAACACCTCTCTTTTTGTTGATTTTTTTTTCTTTCTAGTCTTTTACATTTAGCTCTAATCCCTTCTTTCTGTCCTTGCCTCCAACTTCTCCCTTGATTCCCTGTTCCTTTTTCTTCTGTATTCTTCTGTGATTCTTGCCTTTGTTTTCTTCTACCTTTGCTGTAGACTTACTAATGAGTGAGATACATGGGATAAGTCTTGATATGTCATAGTTCCAGAGGCTGCTGATTTCTTGGTTCAAGAGCTCTAAGTTTTCTTCAATAGATGATCTGATAGTTTAGATGCTGCCTCACCCTCTTTTTGGTGTCTCCAGTGAAGAACTGACTTAAGTATATACCAAGTTGATACACACTTTCTTTGTCCTCTGAGCATTTTATTTTATTTTATTTTATTTTATTTATTTTATTTTATTTTATTTTTTAAAGATTTTATTTATTTATTTGACAGAGCGAGACACAGTGAGAGAGGGAACACAAGCAGGGGGAGAGGGAGAAGCAGGCTTCCCGCAGAGCAGGGAGCCCGACGCGGGGCTGGATCCCAGGACCCTGGGATCATGACCTGAGCCGAAGGCAGACGCTTAACGACTGACTGAGCCACTCAGGCGCCCTCCTCTGAGCATTTTAAACCTGATGTTAATATTTTCTTTTTCATGAAAGAGGTTTTTTATTTTGTTTTTGTATGTTTGTTTTTCCATTAATGTCAGGCAGTGTTGCTACAAGAAGTAAATATCTTATTAAAGAGATTTAGGATTTGGGGAACTGTCTTTTTTTTTTTTTAAGATTTTATTTATTTATTTGACAGAAAGACAGAGAGAGGGCCCAAGTAGGCAGAGCGGCAGGCAGAGGGAGAGGGAGAAGCAGGCTTCCTGCTGAGCAGGGAGCCCAATGTGGCACTCAGTCCCAGGACCCTGGGATCATGACCTGAGCCGAAGGCAGACGCTTAACTGACTGAGCCACCCAGGCACCCTGGGGAACTCTCTTTATGCTGTTATGCTGTAGCTTAATTTTTATCCAGTGGTTTAAATAAGTTATCTTAGTATTTTGGGGGAAAGTTAAAGTTGAAGTTTAGACTATCTTCAGTGCTCAGAGATGTGTTGATAACAGCCAAAACTTACAATATATTATTTGTAATTATGAAAATAAAGTTGTTTTTCCTTTAAAACAACTTGAAATTTAAAAAAAGATTTCCAGGGTGAATTACGGAAGTATTTCCCCCAGGAAAGTAGTGGCAACGTACTGGCCTATATAATTTAGAAATGGATTGGGCCCTAATAGTGAATCATAAAATATTGTCAAGTGAGTTTGAGTGTTTAAAAGCTATCCAGGGTTTCCAAATCTCTTATCAGCACCAGCTCTTTCACTTGAGTTTTTATTCAAAAATTGAATAGAACCATTGTCATTTGGGTATCTTAAAGTCTTTGAGAGAAGACATGGGTCTCGTTCTTTACCAGATATTTTCATCTTAATCATTTTGGGTAATAACGAGAAAATAACTTGTTCTTTATATAAGTATAAAGATATAAAACCTTATATAAGTAAGGTTTGAATACATTTCATTTTTACCAACTTTTAAGTTTGCTTAGAAAATTTTGCTTGGCTTTCCACAATGTTATTCTTAAGAATAAAATATTTTGTTAGCACAAGGTTATTCCGAAGTCCATTGAGTCAGAAAATATCACTGGGGAAGATTCCTTTAGGAGAATTCTGAGGGGAGGCCAGAAAGGAAGGTTGGAGCCTTTGTTACCAGGCTAAGGAATTTGAACTCCATATCTGGGAGGATCTGCCTGGGGTAGCACCAAGGTATTTTGTATTTTGAGCGAGAGGCATTGTACCAAAATACATTTTTTGGAAAAATCAATCTGATACGGTCTTTAAAAGTGAACTAAAGGAGTAAAGAGACTGGCTTGGAGAGATGATTTAGGTTGTTTTGATAATCAGGTTTAGTGAATTTTGGTCAATGGAAAAATGTTCTCAATATGAAAGTTGAATTTTTATGGTAACAAGATGGGTTTTTTTGTTTGTTTGGATTTATGTAATTGGGAAGAAGTTCTGTTGTGGCTTAAAAATTATTTTTAGATTTGTCTGTTTTTGGTAATAACTGAATGTGGCCTGTAGTCCTGTGGTAGTCACATGAGTAAATAATGTATTTTTCATACTAAGTATTGCTGCTTATATTTAAAATTAAAATGATTTGTTTTCCTAAACGTTTCCATGTATTTTTACATTTATTGTACACTTCTGAATATATTTGTTTTAACAAATGATGGGTTTATTTGGTTTCCTAGTATTTCTTCTATCAAGATAAAAGTGTTTTTAAAAGTCATGCCAACTGAATCTGAAAAGTCTTTGGAATTGAGTGGTTATTAGTAGTGTCACATACTAGTGGAGCATCTGTAAAATAGAGTAAAAATCTTGGTTGGACTTTACTGGTTTAGAATAATACCCCTGTTAAAGTAGCCTTCTGTTAGAGAATTGCTTTTTTTCCTTTCTTGGTTCACTTGTTACCCTGTGTGCCTTTGATTATTCCTCAAAGAGGTTTCACTATATCAATGGTTTGCTAGCACTTAGCTTTTTTATTTTCATACAAAAACATAATTTTTCTTCTCACTCCACTGGCTTTCAATAGTTGAACATTTTCAGAAAAATCTTAGTTTCTGAATTTAAATTTTGTATTGCATAGCTGTTTAGGAACTCTGGGAAGATATAATTCATTGGGGTTAGAAGTAGCTTAGTTGTGTAAAGCTTAAGACTTATGGAAACTTGCTTTAAGATAATAAAATGAAATTTGAAATGGGCTATTAAGATGCCTTTCTCAAGATTTCTTCAAGTTAATGAATTTCTCAACAGATATCAGAAGTATGTTTAAAAAACACATATATACATATATATATAAAAGCATGTGCATGTGTCTGTACCATTTTTCTAGCCTCAGTGATGTGCTATTTACTGTAATGAAGCTCCATCAAATCATTGGTTAATTTTATTAGATATGGTTAGCTGATTGATGACAGCTCTGTACTATAATCTATTTTATTGATTCTGTTGAATGTAGGAAGAATCACTTCATCTTGTTTATATTCTTTTAAGAATATATAAGAATTCTTATAAGAATGTAAACAAAG